AGTGCAGCCTTGGCCACCCTGAGTAACCTGAATGAACTGTATTGTGCTGAGTGTTTATTTTCCTTGTCTGTACATCTTTTGTGCGGATTACATTAATATATAACTTTTATTTGTTCTTCTTCTTCCTGTGTCATTTAGAGTATTTGTAGGCATATATGCTGCGCCGTCATGTCTGGGAGAATGCATCCTCAGTAACTTTGGTTCCTATGGTAGTGTAGAGAAACGAGTACCATCAATTTTTTAGAATTTTACTATTCACTTGGTACCGAAGTATCGGTTCCTGTGACATCCCTAGTCTTTACGCCTCATTTGTGTGGTGAAAAGGGGCACCAGAGACTGCTTAGAATTGTGCTCAGGCTTACAAAGACCCAGTAGGTATCGGCTGAATAAGGTTTTCACAGGATACCATGGATACTTTTAGGGGCAAACAAAACTGAAGCAGATCTTCAGTGCAGACGAGCAGCCTCTTTTTTCCCCATTAACCGTAGTGACTCATAATGCATAATGACATTCAGCGAAAGCCTGTGAAAAAGACACCCATTCAAAGATGAATTAACTGACCATCCACGTGTTTTGAGCCTATTTGATGCAGTCGGTAGATGGTCGTACACGTTGGCCGATGGCTGTTTAATGGGGTGCTAGCTCTGAAGGATTATGGCACCATCTGATCGTATAAAACTGTAATCTGCTCTAAGACCTGTGTTGAAGGAACATATTTTTTCTTGGCTGTCATGTACATAGTAAAACCAAAGGTGTAACCATTTTTGACCACCATGCTTACTATTCAAATCAGCAAAGTACTCGGGTACAGATTATTTAACCCAAGAATTAACGATAGCTCCTCTGTTTCCATGTTGCGTGTGTGTGTGTGTGTGTGTGTGTGTGTAGTTTTTGAATGAATGTTAAACAAGTAGCATGAGGATATGGTAACTCGCCTTTGTGATCCTGTTATGACTTTTGCAAATGGAAGCTGCATGTGTTGGTGCTGTTAGCAGGCTGAGAGAGTAGATGGTTTGACTCGGGGATGAATGACTGTAGAAATAGGAGGATGTGCCGCTGGCTGCTTGACTGAATGGTCGGATGGATGGCTGGAAGGACACCTGGGTAGCTGTCTTACACCAGCATTTTCCAAGGCGTAAGCATTTCTGCAAGCAGCAGTCTTGCCAGAATTCATTAAAGAGAATGAATATCTTGTAATGTAGTGTGCCCCACATTTGCTAGAAACCACAAGCAGTTTATTCACCTTACTAAAGCCTCATTGTGTGGTGTAAGTTGCACACCTGCATGTGCACAGCTGGTGGGGTTGAAACATAAAAAACACACACCACAGAAAACCATTTGTCCAAAAGCAGCTGGCTCACAGAAGTGCGGTCAAAACCTAGTGGTATTGTATTGCAGTGGACCCATGAAGTACTGTAAAAGGATTAGAACCGCTGTGTCATATTGTGCTTTCGCCCATGAAGGATTATCTGTCATAAATGAACATAGAAGTGTTCATGTTGTACAGTCATTGTATCAACCATCAAGCATGACATTGATCATTTGAACCATTTCACGCAATGCTGCCTTCCATGACTTAAGGCATCATTAAGTGGATTTTATTTGAGTAGAATTTTCCCAAAAGGCAGTTGAAGGTTTTTAGCAGTGTTGGCAGTGTCTTTTTCCTCTGGTTACTTCATTCATGTTGGAAGAAAAAAAACAACAAGTTCTCAGTGATTGCTGGTTTGTTAAAGCCCCCTTTTAATAAGGGCTCTTTAACAAGATTGGTTGCCTTTGTTCAATCCCGGAGCATGTTTCCATGACGCCAGCAGTTAATTTCATGTATCCACAGGCAGGGAGAGCTGAAAAGCGGTGCCTTAGCTCAGCAAGGAGAGCCAGGCTTCTTTCTAGACAAATCAAACCGTTTTTTTTGGGTAAGGTAATTAAAGAAGACAGTGTCCTTGGAGGGCTGGGTGTTCCTGCATTTTAGAATGGATGATGTAATGAAATGTAATATAATGTTGTGTAAAGTGAGACTTTATTGATCCCTGTAGGGAAATTCTCCCCTCTTGTCCCCGTTCACAGAGGGAGGTCAATTAGGTGGATGTTTGCCAACACGGGGGCTTCACCCTTGGATTTTAGGTTGAACTCCTAGCTGCTGACTTATTACACCATCTCGCGGCTCCCCATAGTACATCAACCAAGCCTCAATATGACAAACTCCAAGGCACACAATTTGAATTATTTTTCAAATCCACTGCTACTCATTTATTCATAATATTGTTTTTTTTCTCTTTACGGTTAGACCCCTCCCATTCACTGCAGGCTTTGTTTAGAAAATGGGGCCTGTTTGTTTCTTTGGTGTCATGGTAAGGTGCAAGGCCTTTTTGCCATCTGGTATACATGACAATGCTGTGATTCAATCAACATCCCATTTACTGTCATTTACTCTTCTAGAGGAAACCATCATGGGTTGTGATGGACCATTATCCACGGATGAGACCCATTCTCATTTCCTAGATGGCTGTGTCTGTGAGTGTGTGTTTATGCGTCAGTGTGCTTGTGTATGTGTATTGTATCACCAGAACGGCTGTTTCCTAACACAACAGCTACATGAGATCGTCACGCCTTTCTGACAGTCACACTCTGAAGAGGGGCTGTTTCACTTATCTGTGGAACACATTCTGTTTGTCTCTCTCTCTTGTACACACCCACACTTGGAGTGTAAGTGTGTTTGATTCTATAATTTAACAGTAACACGCATACACACACATCACAGGGGCGTATCATCATTGGCTCTGTCTTGTAAGCTGTTCAGCGATCTGTACTCGGTAGCAGCATCCACCACTCCAGTCCTAATATGCTCAGATGAGGCCAATGATGAGCTTGGTGTGCTGTTGTAGAGTTAAAATCATGATCGCTTTTTGAAAAATAACTTTGCATGAAATTAAAAACCAGCCAGCTTTCATTGGGAGTGTTGCCTATTCCTTTTAAAAAAGGTACATTCATTCTGACAACTACAGCAGGTATGACCTTATTTGCAACACTCATTGTTCAGAGTCATCGGCCTACTTCAAAAATATTTCCCAACATGACAGCTTGATAATAAAAATAGTTTTTCAAAGTTTCTAGTTTTATCTTTTTTATTGTTATTTTAATTTTATTTGCTGCAGCCTGCTTGTCGAGTTTTGGTATTAAACTGCCTCGTGTCACCATGGAGAAAAAGAGGAGTTCTTCCACCATCTCTCCGCTGCACCCACAAATCACAGGAGAGATGAGAGCCATATTCTAGCAGCCGCCGCAGTCTGAAGGCGGCTGCTAAATCTGTAACGTGCGGCTGAAAATAGAGACAAAGCAGCTGATTCTTTAGACCGAAGCCACTCTTCTTGGTGTGTTCAATGTGGACGTCTTCACTGTAACCGCTTACTGTTGCTCCTGTGAAATCACTTACTTCCACTGTGTCTTCGGAATGGCTGCAACTGCACGAGATGAGAAGAAATCACTAACTTCCTACTTTTACTGTTTGTTGTGCATCAACATGATCGAGAAATTTCAATTCTTGGTCTTATATTTGGTATTTGGTAAAACTGTGAAAGGACCTTTTTGTATGAAAGTAATGTCACCCAAATATGTACAAATATGGAAAAGGCTGAGAGGCTGGCAGGAAGAAGAGGGTGAGTTAATGGAATTATGGGTGAGATGAAGCTTCACAGCCTCTCTACAGTACTTGACATTAGAGACATTCATTTGCTGCACTCAGCCAAGCGCCTACAAGTGGATTTGCGCACTTTTCTTTGTTGTTTATCAGAAGAGAATTCACAGGCTGAGGTTGAGCAACTCTTGACAGGAAAGCTAGCAGGAATTACGTGGAATAGTTTGTTTCCCACCTGAATGCGTTTTTTGGGGACATGTGAAAGAATAAATCAGTGTCAGGGAAGTGATGATGGAACAGTGACATATTACTCATGTTTTGTGTCAGTGTTGAGAGTTGAGTCAGATCTAGTCATATGTGATAATATACTGTATGCATGTTGATCATGGTGAGTGTTTGAGGTTCACTGAGTGTCCCCCCCCCCCCCCCTCCAAAAAAATAGATTTTTCGATTAATGTCAGAAAATCATAAAAATGGCCATTAAGTTGTTTTATACCCAAGGTGACATCTTACATTGGCTTATTTTGTCTGAACATTAGTCCAAAACCCGCAATTTTTCACATTCTTTGTTATATAGAACAGAAAAAGTGGTACAAAATTACAAATTACAAATTTCCACAAGCCCCTTTGTGTTTTATGAATCACTGAATCCTGCAAAGACCGGAGGGGGGTTTAACACAGAGTGAATACGTCACTTTGCTGTTGAAGTGTTGAAGATTACAACACAACAAACATAGCAGTCAGTGAATTTAGATTCTGTGTTGCAGAGAATTTGTTTAGAAAGAGGGATTATGAACACTATTGTGATTTTTAAGGTATTTTTTTGTCTCTGTAGGTAGTCCCTGAATGTATTCTTAGCACTGCATGGCACTAAACACTCTTGATGTGGTGCCATAAAGCACAATATCAGATTGCTGATCTAGCAATACACTGAGAACAGAGAACGCACCGTCTCCTTCTTTATGACTAATGTTGTCTGAGTGAATACAATGCAGCTATCCCTCAGAGCCGCATAGTCACACACTGTACTTTTGCATTAGTTGAATATTAAATATTTAGAGTAGATCTTTCTGAAATGCTCCAATCTTGACATATTGCTTAAAATAGTAATATTTTTTGTCTGTTTGCCTTAAGCTATGGGCTGCCACTCTAACAGGGAAGTTTATCCAGGACTACTGGTCTCCACTTTTGGCTTTTAATTTGTTCAAGGTCATCTGAATATAAAAAACACTCCACCAACTTAAATATAGGCTGTGTAATTTTGCTGTGACCTTGTGTCTAAAAAAAATCTTGACTGAAGATGGTTGGTTTCTCTTGACAGTTACATGTTTCTTTCTGTTCTCCAAAAGTGACTTAACACAACACACACTGACAATGACAGCAAATACATTTTAATGCAGCACACCATACAAACAATGCACACATCCATGAAGTGTCTTTTTTTCAATTGGACTGTAATCCTCTGGTCAGGCCAGAGCATGACCTTCTTTTGAAGAGGCTGAGGAGAAACATTATCACAAGGTCCACATCAATACATGGTGGTGCTCAAAAGCGTGATTTAGGCTTGTAATATCTCCATTACTTTAGCAAATGTTGCATTGATAATGCTATCACTTGAGCGTGAAAATGGCTTTAAAGTGGCCTTGTGTTTATTTGGCTACAGTATCAGCGGCCAGCCATGTACTGTGTGCTCTGAGACTGATTAGGGCTATGGTTGTATTGTTAACTGTTTGCCTTTATTTTCTGACTAGCTTTTACCACCGGAGGCCATGAAGCGTGAGTTCTCATCTGATCAAATTTAATTTAATGTTCTGGTGGCCTTTTCTCACCCACTGTAGTTTCACTTACCTATGTGTGTGTGTGTGTGTTTTGTATACGTGTACGTGTTCACAGGCACAGAGCTGATGTCTTTTCACAACCTGTACTTGTGCAGTAGCTGCTAGTCCCTGCTTTAACTCCACAGAGACACTCTGAGATGGTACAAGCGCAGCAGACGAAGAGACAGAGTAGAGAAAGAGAAATTGAGCCTTTTCTCCCTTCTTTTCCTGCTTCTCCTTTTTTCCAAATAGTCTGTTGAAAGATGAGAAGGATAGATTTACCAGAAATTGAACCAAGACAGGATTAGGGTAGACGGATAGAGGTGGTGAGAGGAGGTTCATCCGAGTTACTCGCTGTAAAATACATGCAAATGGAAAGAGAGAGGGGAGAAAGAAGAGAGGTAGACCGAGGTGCAGAAGCTTGAGTAGTTGCATGAAATATGAAGATGGGTTGAGAAGGCAGTCATCTATGGTTTAATGTAGCCAGTGGTTTCTAAGCAGCTCTTTTAATATTGTGTCAGGGGGACTGTGGCTTGTTTACGGACGCATTAAAAGGATGTTGCTGGTTACAGCTTGAAAAGATCTAATGAGAATAAATGCATTTGTGTAGGTTTTTGTGTTTGTTTTTTTTTCAAACTCTTTCAATTGCATAGGCTCTTTTAACTGAAAGAGGTTAGACCCGTAGTAATATCAATGCCCACATGTGCACCAAATGCAGGTGGAGAGTGTGCATCAGTTTTGTACTTTCTGTTGGAAAGTTTCGAAAGGTTTGCTTTCAGCTCTGTGTTGAGGAGGACACTTTTACACTCAGGATAAGAATACACTTGCGCACACTGGTCATCATGCTGTTCTGCTATGCCTCTAGCCCACGCACAGGTGCACCGCATCTTTGGAAAGAACTATCAGCTCAGCCCACACACACACACACACACACACACACACACACACATTAGATAAGGCTATAGATAGCTATATGCTGACATGCTTCATTATCATCTCTCGTTTCTATGGTAACCGGTGCCATCCATCCCTACCATTACCCCCATAGCAGAGTGGATTATAGTGATTATAGTGTAAGACCATCCCTAGGATAACTGTCAAATAATGAGGCAGATGATGGAGTCTTACCTTCCCTCAAGCCTGGGATTTAGCACCAAGCACTACCTCGCAGTGTGTTTTCTATGTCTCAGCTAAGCCACAATAATGTGGGGGTAAATAGGCTGTGGTGATATTCCAGGTAAACATAATTACTAATCTGTCACTCTCAGGTAGTCGAATGTTGCTCGGAGCATTTATGTACAAGAGTTTGATTTCAGTAGGCACCGTTTTAATGGACATGGTAGCATATAAAGGTGACCCAATGCAGCAAGAAGTCAGTGTTCCATTTTTGTGTTTCAGCAATGTAAGGATGATGTTTTGCGTAGTTTTAACAGGAATAAGATTACTGGCTCTGTGTGTGTGGCTCTAAATGCAGAGATGGAAGAAGGACGCAGATTCTTTACTGAAGTAAATGAACTATTACCACAGTGTAGAAATACTCTGTAGGTATAAGTAAAAGTACAAAGGTACTAGCACGAAAACATACTTAAAGTGCCAAAAGTACTCATAATGCAGAATAATGTAGATTATATTTTATTACTCTGTTAATTACTTTATATAGTGCTATGTAGCTTGTGAATTTCCCTGTGAGGATCAATAAAATTGCATCTATAACTATAATAATACAACATAATTTATTTGTTTCACTGAATTTTGTGGAGTAAAAAGTACAATATTTCTCCTGAAATGGGATGGAACGGAAGCATAAATCGTCATGAAACAGAAAATAGAAATACTGAAGTAAAGCACAAGTACCATACTAACATGCTCACAATAACAATGCTAACATGCCAATCCTAAGCAGGTATAATGTTTACCATGTTCAACATCTTAGTTTGCTAACATTTTCTGATTAGCACTAAATACAGATTACAGAGATTGTTAGGAATCCCCATAGTCTTACAATCCCTCTTCTCTCATCTTATGGCCATCCATCTTGAATGTCTGCATCAGTTTTTTTGTCCATCCAGTAGGTGTTGTAGATGTTTTACAGGATAAATGAACATTTTGACCTGCTGGTGGCGCTAGAGGAAATTAGATTTGTATGCCACTACATCCGCTAGTTGTTGAGATATGGACCAAAGCGTTGGACAGGCAGACCTACATTGCCGCCACTATAGCCAGTCCACTACCATGGCTAAAAATGTTCTTTAATTACTAATCTATAGTCCTCTAGTCCTCATCCTCTAATAAAGAACTACAGCCATCCACAGCTGTCCATTAAAATTTGCGTATGGTAGTACTGTTTGTTTTTCTCCAAAGATTCCTATTGAGAATTGAATGTTTTTATCCCTTGATGGCCCTCACCCCACTGTGTAGCAATTAGCCTCTCAGCAGTGGCACATTTGGAGAAATCTGGAGAGCAAAGACATGAACAGAGCGTGCTGCACACCTCTCACAAGACCATGTTATTTTCATTTGAAATATTTCAGCTGACCTCAGAAGCCCTTGATGTTCCCACTATAGATGTATATGTTTTTATATCGAACTGGCGAGCATGGAAGTTATTTTTTATTTTTTTAGTCACTGTTGTGCTGTCTTCACTCACTCGAAGAGCTTTCATCTGGATTTGACACTAAAGACTACATAGACTACCTTCAAGTGATTATGATTGTGAGTTTGATATTGAATGGTGCATCCAGTGTTCGCTAAAATTAGCAGCTCGAGTGCAGCGAGTGTAAGCAGGTAAACCTACCATCCAAATACGGAAGAACTCCCATGAGGGCCATTCTGGGACAATTGTACCGATTCAGAACGGCGCTGATGTCAGCTGGAAAATGAGCCAGTTTGTTTCAGTTCCCAGTAGGTCGAGTTCTTCGTAGGTACAAGGTTTTCACGGGACGCAGGTGTTGTACAAGCCTGTGTCACTCCCACGCGAGGGAACTGTGATGAAGGAACTCCGCGATCATCAGGAGAGCGATAGGAGAGCGATAGGAGAGCGATAGGAGAGAGAGAGAGAGAGAGAGAGAGAGAGAGAGAGAGAGAGAGAGAGAGAGAGAGAGAGAGAGAGAGAGAGAGAGAGAGAGAGAGAGAGAGAGAGAGAATGTCAGGACAGAATTACTGTCTTTCACATGATTGTAAAGTAAAGATCGGTCACTTTCTCAACCCTTCTCTGAAAAATAAGAGCCAGGATTGATTTTCTTCCTCACTGGTGTGTGTGTGCGTGTGCGTGTGCGTGTGGCACGTGTGTATATTTTCCCCCATTTTAGTGTCCTCTACAACGGAGTCAGCCCCGACCATGGTTGATTTGTTGTGTGATTTAGAAGATTAGGATACGAAAATGCATGCTAAGATGTATTGACTGGTGTGTGTGTGTGTGTGTGTGTGTGTGTGTGTGTGTGTGTGTGTGTGCAAGCTGTACAATGGCTCACGGGGAAACAAAGGGCACAAGAGGAATAATGTTTGGAGGAACAAGAAGAGAAATGTTTTTTTATTTTAATTTTTTTCTCGATAACAGGAGCGTTAATCGCATTGAAGGTTCCAGGCAGTTAGTTTATGTGAAAGGATTAAAGAAAAATCCATGTCTTTTTAAATCATACTATGAGCGCTTTGTCTTTATAAAAAAAAAGGTAAAAAATTCATATCAACAGTAATGACTTCTTGTTGGATTTGCTGCATCACCGTAATTCACACTTAATATTTTGAGGCATGAGATTTGATGCATTTAACTGCTAAAAGAAATGGAAACTCGTCATTCGGAAAGTATTGGAACATACGATATATGTTCCACTTTTTCAATTCTGTAGTATCAAAATGTCCCTTCTATTAGAATATTTAGAATATGTGTATGTTTTTTCACAGGGGCAAGAGCCTGCAAAGAAGCTATGGCAGCTTTAGGACAGACTTGTGTTGTAACAGCTAAATCACCTGACTATGTAACAAGGGTTGCACATGACATAGTTGCTCCATAGGGGCCACTTCCTTACTCCCCCAACCCCCAGAGGTTTAATTTAAAGACATAAATATAATAGTCCTTTAATTTTCGAAGGGTATGACAGAAATAAAAAAAGCAGCCTCTATGAGCCCTTTCAGACTGTCGTTCCAGCCTGCCTGAGCTCGACAACATGCTGGTGAGAGAATTTAAACAGGGCACTCGTTGACCTCTGGAGGCCAGAGGCCAGTCTGCTAGAAAAATATTGCAAAAACAAATTCAAGTCAAATCAAAGCCATGGGATTTGATGCCAAAGTAGAAGAACTTATGAAATACTTAAGCAAACACTGGGATGAGTGATATGAGCCAACAAGAATTTTAATTGTCACTACAAAGTGGAGCACTGTGCTGATGACAGACTGCCAACTACAGAGAGATTCTTGTTTCATGTGCTGGAGTTATTATTTCCTGCCTGTCCCTCATTAAAACATGAGGCCGCCAGACCAGAAACAGAGAATAATCTGTATGCTAAGATAGACAATATTCGTATTTCTTTTTTTTAACCAGAAAGAATCACTAACATTGAGCAGCAAATACCATGTTCTTACTCAGATAATGTCATAACAATATGTCAAGAATTGGACCTAGGATTTGAGTAGGACTGACGGAAAAATATATTTTATCCGCTTCTAATATGTAAGTAGTTCATTGAAAAGTACACACTCCCATATTTTGTGGAAATTAAATTTTTTTTTCCTATTTCTCATTTTGGTATTTTCCAATATAAAGCATCAGGTACCAGGTTGGTTGGTAAACATTAGTGTGCTGTGTGTACTTTTGTTATAGAAGGTTTCTAGGTCCCCAAATTTCAAACAGATGCTATTTGAAGCCACCAACGTGTGTGAAATGTGCAGAATACAGTTTTAATGTGCTTACTGTGTGTGCTTCAGTTTCACTGAGTTTCCATAACAACAGTGTAATGTTTCTTGACAGCCATCTTAAGTGTACTGGCTAGTGGAAAGAATAAAAAAAAAAAAACACTTGAAGGTTGATTTGTGTGTACAAGTCCCATTCTGTTCATTTAAAGTCTGTGGAGCAAACAATCTAAGTGTGCATCTCATAAAGACCATCTCCCCTCTCTTTCATCACGGTTCACCTTCCTTTCACTTTCCAGGGTTTACAGCCCTGGAAAGGCAAACAGGGGGCAGATGTGCCAGCTCTTTAAATAGACCTAAAGAGGTCTTAACAAGCAGCCTGCTCAGCTTTACTTAAAGTCCGACTGTCCTCGCAGCCCCTCAGAAATTCCTGAATTAGGTACAATTACTGAAATGTATTCTCAGTTTATTTTATTTTCCCTTTTTATATGAGGTTGTTCCTGTTCCACCTGTTATTCGTCAACCTCTGTAGCCATTTCTAAGGAAGCATTTGTACAGGAGGAAGCAGTTTTTCACAAGAAGAGAGTCGTGCAGGATCTGAAACATATACAGTTTAGATACACAAACCAGCATAAATGTAATACTGGCACAGGCCAAACTGATACATGTAAATCTTTATTTACTGTGCACTTTTAACATTAATTAAACATGCAGCATGAAAGGGGGGAGGGAGCTCAGGCGTCTGAGAAACCTAGTACCAAAGCAGAATTGGGATTATAGATGAAGGTTCACATCACATGACATATAAGCCATAGCACTGTCTACTTTTGCGCAGCCAGTTCTGGGTGATTTAAACTCTGAGCCCTTAACTGTAGGTTCTACAGGCTCTGGCATGATTCATCCCGCATTGATCTCCCTGTGCTTATCTTGTTTTTTACTCTCTTGCTTGTTGCATTCTGACCCAAAATGTACTGTTTGTTTGGTGCTAACATACTGCTGATCACTTCCCACACATATTGCTTTTCTTGGTGTGTGTGCTGGTGTGTTTTTGTGTGCGTATGAATCACTTGCATCCCACATCCTTCTCTCCTGAGAATCACCCTTCAGAGAGCCCTGTGCCACAATCCCAGAATTCCCTGTGGGGAGGGTGGGAAGGGGTGGATGTGCATGTATGTGTGTATGTATGAATATAGTGCCTTTTATGAAAAGTGTTGCATAGAAACTATAAAATACTCTAATATACATGTGCACAAATATAAGTAAAATGTGTGCAGTATCCATTTACAGAAACACATGCCCAAGGAAAAGTGAGAGATGAGTGAAAAAATACCTGAAAGCTTATGGTTGTTGCTGGGCTTTGAGGGTCCTAATATTATACTGATCATCACCATCATCTGCTGAAGACCAGAGGCTGGTGAGACCAGCAAACAGCTTATCCTAGTTACAGCCTGTTTTCCTTTTTTCTGCAGCAGTGTCACACTAAAGGTTCTGACTATTTGGAATTCAAAAAGGCTCATTAGCAAGCAAGACACAGCAAAATTAATTTGGGATAACTGACAGAAATGCCACAGAATTGATTGAATACAGATGGGGGAGAAAGAAACAACAAACACTACAAGGTTTTTTATGTTTGGTGAGATAGACTATTAGATATGTTTTTTGAAGCTCACTCAAAAAAAAAAAAAACATTTTAAAACCTTAATATATTCTTTCAGATTCATTGTGATTAACGTAATTAACCTCTTAGAATAGTTGCTCAGAACAAAAAAAGAGGACAGAACATTCTTCCTTCACAAAGATTTCATGAGCAATACAACACTACATAAATACACGCAGGTCTTCCTGCTGCTATTTACCAGTAGCTTGGGGTAGTTAATGTCTGTTAATGAGCTTTAAATGGGTATGGTTGTGTAACTGACATTAGTCATGAGTTACCATTTACCTTTATCCAGAAATTGTCTCTTGTGGTCGCAGTGGCTGCTGTTCTGGAAACGTCTCAGAGCTCCAGTAGCACAAACTAGCAAGCTATCTTGTTGGCTAGCACTGCTTCACTTGCTAATAAGCTATCTTGCTCACAACGTAAAAAAACTAAAGCTAAAAGAAAAGAAGCTAAAAAAAACAAAATGACCTCACAGCCATAAAAAGGTGATACCATACAGACGTATTAAATTTAGTGTGAAATCTAGCGAAGATTAGGAAAAAATGCATGCTAATTTTTTTTTTTTTTTTTTTTTTTTTTTTTTTTTTTTTTTTTTTTTTTTTTTTTTTTTTTTTTTTTTTTTTTTTTTTTTTGGCAAGTTTAAAAAGGGCCACGGGGAAACAAAGGGCACTAGAGGAATTTTCTTTGAAACAGTTTTTTTTATTTTAATTTTTTCTCGATCGTGTTTTTTTTAGAAAAATTTTTTTTTTTTTTTTTTTTTTTAAAAAAAAGAAAAATTCACACAAAAGTAGAACTTCTTTTGATTCTCATCAGATTCACACTTAATATTTTGAGGCATGAGATTTGATGCATTTAACCTAAAAGAAATGGAACTTGATCCTCATTGACTTCACTGCCATGAGCGAATCCACTGACGGTGATGACGTCATACAGACGTATTACATTTAGTGTGAAATCTAGCGGAAGTGTAACTGGGCTCTTATTGTTGTAAAAGAGGTTGATGATGCCTCTGCCCCTGCCTTGCTCTCCCTGGTGTCTGTAGTTCTGCAGAAGATGATGAAAGTATGAAGGAATTTTTTCTTAGGCGTTTACCTTGTCTGTCATCTCTGCATGACATGAGAAAGTTATTTTTTTTTGTTGCCATAAAGCAATTTATGAAAGCAATGCAGTCGTTTTCCTGCTGAATCTGACCTCCGCGACCGCAATGTAAAATGTAACATACTTTACATGCTGATAATCCTCAAAGTGATGGCCTCTTTTGTTTATGGCAACGATATGTGATGTTCTGAAGTGAACATGGTTATGTTACCAGTGTGACAGGAAAAAAAAGGAAAGAAAGAATGAGACGGTGGTAAAACTGAGCCAAGCCAGCATTTAACCTTTCTCCGAGGCAGGAATGTTTTACTGGGTAATTAATAAGATATGGCTCTGTCTTGTCTCTGTCCAACTCCAAACATTTTCTCCTTCCAACTTCCTTCCCCTCT